AACGTTTTTACAAAACCAATAAAAATTATCACTCTCCAAACTCCACTATTGTGTTTTACTCTTAATTTGAGTTAATTCAGATAATATAAAAATAAATTACGAAAGGTAAACAAAAATATCCCGGTGATGCATGGCTGGAGCTGCAAGGACGTACTAAAAACTTACTTGGAAGAATAAATCACATCTTTGTATTGTAACGTGTGCCTTTCTGTATATATTGTGGCATTTGATACCCCTGAAACTACTTTGCTAACATTAACATGTGCACCAACTAACATCAACATCAACTCCGCACAACCGCACCAGTTCGATGAGAACACCCTACAGCCCCCGCGATGATAAATCTCCTGAGTAGCTTTCGGGGGTTATGAAAATTTGATTCCCGTAGAGGCCGTTAAAATATCCAGGGAATGCACGAGAGGGATCAGAAGAGGCGATTATAATGCAGATAGGAAGAATTTCATTATTCAAAGCCTCCTCTTTATCCCTTGTAAAGTTGTGATATTAGGATTCTTCTCCGCAATAATACTCCCGGTAATATAACACAACGAATTTGCGTTCGCCACCGCGCCGCACGTAGCCACCGCAAGAAGCGCTGCCGCCTGAAGAGAGGGGGAAAGATTCGCAATGGAGGGGGTAGGTGGTGAATGGAGGGAGAAAAGGTAGAGGAGGAAAAGATCACTTCGAAGAAACAAGGTTGTGAAAAGAAGTAGAAAGGAGCAGATACAAGTTGTGAATGCATTGGAAGAAGATTGAAGATTAAAAGTTAGTGGAAAGGAATAATATTCCGTAGGAACACGGGTGCTCAAGAGAGAATTGGTAGACAAAAGGGGAGTATTACGAAGCAACAACCGTCAATAAGATGTAATTATTTGAGAGAAATAATAATAATGAGGAATATGATTTAACAGTACAGTGAAAAACATCCGGAGGGATGTAAGGAAAATAAACTATAGGAGATGAGATGTAATCACATGAGAGAACAAATAGATAGGATGAATGTGGTACTTAGAGGAAAGAAAGAATAATTCTATTTTAAGGAAGGAAGCAACTATAAACGGGATGTCCGCAAGAGGAAAGCGAGAACGAACCTGATGTGATAGGTGATATGAAGTGACCTACTCTGCAAAGTAGGTACATGAATGGTGTTGACGTCGCACACAACGGTGCTAGTCGAGTGTGAACGACGGGCGAGGAGCCAACCACACACTTGTAAGACGATAAAGACATTAGGTCGAACAATATTTATCCATGTTTTACTTTCGAAGGCCCGGCAATATGATTCTGCCGTCTCCCAGCGCCCGATTACGGTACTATCTCATCTTCCGACGTAAGGGCGAGGAGTGAAGTGTCTTGACGCATTGGCCGTCGGGAGGAACGGCAAGTGAGCGGAGGCGGTGGCCGCGCAGACGGAGGCGGAGGCGGCCTGGGGGCGCAGTCGGCGCCGCCTCGGAATCGAGGGCAGCCGCTCAGGGACTCGGCGCTGCCTATTAGCATCTCGTGCGGGCGGCGCGTCTTTGTTCGCAGAGGCGCGCTTCCGCACAGTGTGCGTCTGGTGGAACCACCTCCCCGCCCCTCCCAACACGTCTCCTCCGCCCGCGCCGGTGCATCGCTTTGTACTCGAATTTCAGCGCTCCAGTCAAAGGCCGCCACCTCCTCCTCCATGTCCCAAGGCCTCCCCCCCACGCGCCATCCTACCCCGTGAAAGCCACGCATGCGCGACGCGACCCCCTTATTGTTCAGTTGGGCTCGCCTGCGCGCACTCGAGCAACTCTCTGCACCCGCGAGCAAATAAAGCTTCCGAAACATCGGAGCCAGCGGAAACGTCTACGAGAGAGAGAGAGATGAGAGAGAGAGAGGGAGGAAAAGAGAAGAGAGAGAGAGGAGGGAAGAGAGAGAGAGACGGGAAAGGGAGAGGCAGAAATGAAAAAAGTTACGTTGCCCGCAGGCCTCGTCGCTCAACGCCCGTGCGGCCGCAGCGGCTAGCGAAAAGTTGCGCTAGAACACTTGTGTGTCCCAGCACCTTCTCATAAAGGCTTGTAAGTACGCGTGACGGACGAGATGGTGTATAAATAACTTAATGACGCACAAGTTGAGATTCTTCCACAGTCGTAAATGCCGAAACACAGAAAGATAATCAGCGAGATAAGGATTTATAAATGTAAGAAGTAATATCAGAAGGAACTTTGAAATAAAAGTGTGAATAACTTTATACAAAACATGTAGAGCTATAACAGCACATAATTTATTGCTTTATTCCTAAATTAACAATTTTCGAAATTTCAGAGTTAATCGAAACTGAGACCTTTCCCATTCTTTTAATCGTTCTTCTATCCCTGAAAAAAATGTCGAGAAGTTTACAAACATAAAAGTTATATGTGTTCTTTTTAAAAATTGTCATTAATTTGAATCAAAAAATTCGCGAAAACTAGGTTTTTCAAACAAAAGTACACGACCTTTCTTTTTAAAATCTGATTTTTTACAAATTTTGTCGAAGAAAAAATTTGTGTCTTTAACTTCCAAGATTTAAAACCAATCACATTTTGAAAATACAGAAAGTTCGCCGGAAATAACACTAGCGCCCATTTTTTATCGTTCTTTGATGCATTTGAGGAGTCATTTAAGAAAAATTCAATCTTAAAACGTTGTTTTAGAAACCAACTGTTTACAAATTGTCTACCTTTCACACAAAATCGCGCCAAAACTACTTATATCTTCGAAATAGTGTACGTGACGTAATTTCAAGATGCCTCTCAACAATTTCATCAACTTTCTTTTTAAAAAATGTCTTTCTTCAATAGTGTAGTTGCAGGCAGGCGCCGAAAATAATTTTAAATACATTGAATTTTCAAAATATCAGAAATTTCAACAAAATAAACCTACGCCTTTCTTTTCATTGTTTTTTACACTATCAGGGAACAAAGTTTAATTCAAAAATTTAAAGTCAGTTTTGAGACAATTTAGAAAATGTAATGTAAAGTATCCCAAAACACTTAAATATCTAATTCAAACTCAGAGGACCTCGATTTCCTTCAAATCGATGGGACAATATCAATTTTGGAGAAAATAGGTCGAACCGTTTTGCCGTCAATCGAATTTTCGGTATCAAGGATACATAAGTCAATAGTTCTGACTACACAACGTGTTAGCGAAGTAATTATTATACAATCGTATAAAGGACCAATATTTAAACTTTTTCGGTGTCATAGCCCGGATATAAGATTTTTCCATCTCCAAAATTTGCTGCTTTCCAGCGCACGATCAACATACCTTTTCTTCTATTACGAAGTAAGGGCGAGAAAGTAAAAATAATTGTTATCCTGATACCTATGAAAACGAAGCCATTTGTAATGTACTAAACTTATACCCTTAAAAGTAGCAAGTGTGCAATAATGGCAAAATTTTTCTATATATTTTTTTCAGAATTGTTGATATCACATTGATCGCATTGTTCACAGACCACCGACAAGCAGTCAGTGACTAACAAACAACAGGGAAATAAGTAATACACATATGCAAACACTTTAATGCAAGTCAGTGAAAAGGAGGATTCCTGTGACTCAGCGCTGATTCATGGCGCGTGATTAGGGGATGTCAGGCTAATGAGATTAATCGCAGAAACGAGCGAGGGGCTACGGGAGACATCACAGTGTGCAAGAAGATAAGATAAAAGGAACACACAACACGCATTACATTGGAGCATATGTGATGCTTACTAAGTTGCAAAACCCATTTCGCAACAAAATACTGACAATTGATTGGAAATATTTCATTTATATGAGGAAGTATAAACAATTGTAAAACCTCTTTTTGGTTGCTTTTTCACTAATATGAACTACGTCATATCGGAAGTAAAAGAGAGAAACCATACGAAGAGTAATAGAGTTCCGGTGTCACGAGATCCCAAAGAAACTATCTCATAGATGGAGAATAAACATAAAATAGTGAGGACGCCCTCAGTACAGAGCTATTTTTATAAGAAAGAACAGTTTTTACAGGTAGAGCTAGCAACATGACTAAAGGTTCTGTGATAGTTGTGTCCTTGAGCCCATTTGTCTCTCCTTCCTTCGTTTGTTTGCAATTGGCTAACCAGTAAATGGTTCGATGCGTCCTTTTCTGATATCTTCATCCGACGAAAACTATAGTGCATCATGAGAAATAATTTAAGTGAGAAAGTGCAATGTTATGTAGTATTCTAAAAAATATTTGTTCATAAACATTATATAGAATTTAATTTTTTGTGATAAGTATAATGTTCATTTTAAAACAAAGTTTTGTGAGATCCGTACTGATGCACGCATTCGGCTTCTCTGCGATGTGTTGAGCTGTGGTGGAGAGCGTTCAGTTCATTGCGTTTTATGAGTTTCGTAGTTCAGTGCATTGCGTTTTATCAATTTATTTTTTATATAATTACACGGTTGTGAATCAAGATAAGGCATGGTGTATTAACACCAGTGATAAACACACAAACATCTTACGAACTGCTGTCGCGGCGAAGGAATACTTCTCTGAAGTACATGTGATGTTCAATTGTTTAGCGAACTGTCATTTTGGTATCTTCATAGACTGATTCTTCGGTAGGATATGAAGGCAACTCAAATTTCCAACTCAACTGAGTCACCATTCGTCGTAGTATAAAAAAATCAGGAGAACACGTTACATCTTGAAACTTTAATCGAATAAAATTAAGAATAAGAGCAAATGCTGCTTGTCAGATGTATTCACCCATTTGGACACCATGAGATTGATACACATGAATGTTGTATAAAAATCACAAACTTTCAATAAAAGTTCGATTATAATTTGCACGAAGAACAATATTACATAGAAAGATAAAATATACACCAGAATATGTTTTTTGGAAAAGTTGAAAACAGGGATGTGGGGAAGTGAAATTTCTGTCTTATTATAAATGTATTGGTAATCCGTTAAAATGTTTTGGGGTGATCCAACTACTATGAAACCGTAAAAGAAATACCTATGAAGAAAAGTCGACTCACCAGTGTAAGGTTGGGAGTAATCTCGGTCTGGACTAGTATAAAGTTTCCCGCTGGCCTCCGCTCCAGGCTCCAAGTACGCCTTCGAATCCCGCGGGTCAGAGTAGGCTTCGACCACCTCAACCTGCAAAAACACAAAGAAAACAGTGATGTCAAGGATGCTTTCTATTTAATGAAACAGAGCCGCGTCACCATAGAATGAAACATATTTATCAGTTCGTGTCGTGAAAGAAAACAAGAACGCTCTCTAATTTTTTTTACTTAAAGCGATTGAGCTCCCAAATCCTCCTGAAGAAGAATTTTTATTTTTCAACCAAGAGAATGCATAAAGAATTGAAAGTGAAAATTTTAATAAACGTATCTATAACAAATGCACTTTATTTGATTTTTCGATTCTCAGTTAAATATTGTCTTACTTCTACCTTTTAGAAACATTTTCACTATTGATCTCAACTGGTGCGGTTGTCAACTGTCTGTGGAGACGATTTTCTGGCGACACCCTTGCTATCGAGGTTCACTGGCAGTATTACATTAAAATAATCAGAATTTGTTAGAATTGTTGTCGTTCAACTTCGTTGTTTGTCGCGAACATTCCTACACGACAATACAATAATTTGAAGTTTTTAAAGGTAGACTAGTAAAATGAAGGAAATTAAGCAAAATTGTATTAACATGTCAGTTACGGCCAATCTCGTTTTACTGAGAAATAACGTCAGTTTATGAGTTTATGCGGCAGATATCTCGCCTCCAAAACACGCTTTTATTCTTAAAATCTTCGAGTACAACAATAAACTGACCCAAGAATACAATAGAATTTCACATAAAACTTTCGTATTTGATCACGGACTAGCCACAAAATAAAACATTATATCTCTAAACAGAAAGATGCATCTCTTGAAATCTAAAGAAGAGTAGGGTAGTTCCGAACTTCACGGGTGAAGGTCCTCTATAGCCAGCCCGTTAATGGGCAGCGGCTCCCCCCCCCCAGTTCAGGCGCTACCGTCCCCGGGGATTATAAACCTTCGGCAGACAACCCGTATTGTGCAAGAACAGCGGACGCGCAGGCAATAACTTTCCGTTCCGTGCGACGCCCCGTTAAAACTCGGCGCGCGGGAAAAGTTGCCGCGCAGGAAGTTTCTGGATTAGAGCGCCGGGAAGCCTCGACTCCGACGCCTTCTTTTCTGGCGCCATCCGAGAGCCCCGCCCACCTCGCGCCCGAGCCCCCAGCGACCCCACCTGCCACCCAGGCGACCCCGGGCCCTTGCTTCGGGTTCCGAGAGCCACAAAAGAAGTAGATCACGAAAGAAGTAGTGTCAAACAATAACACACTGTTTAAAACAAATAGTTAAAAACACATTATTACATAAATAAATAGTAGTTACAAATAATCAAATTAATTTTTTTAAGTACCAACTTAGACTAATTTTAGAGAATGAAAAATGTGATTGTAATATTCAGTATAGAATACGTCTACGAAAAGAAAATACACAATATCTAAATTTGCAGCAGCTCCGTGCAGATGAGAAGGAAGACCAATGTTTTAAGGTTGTATGAAGAGCACGTAATGAATAGAGATTGTGTATTATGGAGTTCACTATCAAACCTCATAGCAACTTATGGTAAGTGTTGTTAGGAAATACTCGCAACAAGAAAATAATAGGGTATGGCGGAGGGCTGACGTAATGAACCATATAAAGAAATCATACAGGCATTTTGAACGATAACACACAAATATTTCCCTTCCCACATCTTAGCTCGTAACTTCCATCCCTTCCCAACCCAATGTTCCAGTCAGGCCTTTGTCCACATCCATTCCCACATTGAGTTCTTTCACAATATTCCGCTTACTACCTGGGTCTACCCTTCGGCTTGCTGTGGAAGACTCCTGTTTTCACGTCTGAGCCTAATGCAACACACCCTCACTAGAACCCTCCTCCAACTCCTCCTCTTTCGGTTGCAACCTTTCGCACCCCGTTCTCCCCTCCGCTCCGTCCCCAAGCGCTCGATCCCCCTCCCCCTGCTCCCGCCAGCGCAACTGCACCTCGTTTGCAGTAGGGATGCGACATCGACGTCCATGCTTTAAAAACATCGATGTACTAACACCGACGTTTTATTAACATCGATGTTTTGTAATCAATGTCTTTTCTTTTCCGAGGTTTTGTTTCTGAATTAAAAATTTCCATGATCACAATACTATTAAAGTAAAAAAACAAAAAACAAAAAAAAAACTGACAGTATCACCGTTATGCATGTGTTAGAGCCAAAAAAAGCTGTTTGCACTACCTTCATCGACCAGACTCTCTAGCCGGAGATGGCCTTTATGCCATTGCATTTCCTCTTCATATTCATTTTGCTCATTAAGATATGACCAAAAAGTACGCTATGGGTGTAGGGTCGACATCATCTTATCATACATACCCTTATACGGCGAATTTGTAAACACGAACACTGTCAAATTAAATTTTATTCCACACAAATTTAATGTTGGAAGATACTAATCGTTCAAAAATATCGATTTTCGTCGCTGTAGTTTTAACATCGCTGTTTTAATTTTGAACATCGATGTTTGCTAACATCGGTGTTTTGTTACTGACGTCGCATCACAGGTTTACTGCTCTTCTTTTCCCTCCGTTGGAGAGACCGTTTGCAGCGGGTGAAAGATGAAGGCGCTTCTGGAGGGGCGGGTCAAATGCCAGAACGCGGAAGCAGCCGTCGACCCGAGGGAAAAACGGTGGGTGACGCAAGGCGCTTGTGACGTCTTCTACAATCCTATCACGCTACACCGCAGCGGACCTTTTCTGAAAGCTCAAAATACGTGTATCTTCCGTCTTTCTCCTTGCCGTCTATTCTGCGATAACAAAATCGAAAATAGATATCTTAATGCACTTCTATTTTTATCATCTGCCGCTATCAATATAAACAATCTTACATTGCAAACTGACAGATTGACACATCGACGTAGAGCCAAAACTACTGCAGATGAAATGGGGGAAATTTGAAAAATAGGTTTTTAATACAATAAAGAAAATAGTTCTCCCATTACACTAATAATACCCTAAGAAAATAGTTCTTTGAAGAGGTGAAGTGAGATTTTATACAATTTTGCTATGCATTTAGATATTAAGGGCTGCGAGTTAGCGGCAAGGTAGAGAGGGCACGTAAATAAAAAAAAAATAATTTTACACTTCTCGTATCATTCCTCTCTATTCCCGTCTATAGGACCACTTACTAAATTACCCGGGCAACGCCAAGTGACTTGAGCTTCTGTATTACATTAGCGCACCAATAAAATATTTCATAAAAAATTAGGTTTAGAAACACTATTCTGTTCATTGCCTATTTGATATTACCAATAACAATTAAACTCTTATGACACATTTATTAAAAGTACCGTTAGTAAATTTGTCAACGAGATGCTAATAAAAATAATCAAATTTTTCCTAATAAGGATTAATTACAAAATGCATTAAAGGAATCAAGCAAACTATTTTTTCATGGTATTGCTAAATCAAGATTGCTTTGTCGAGAGCAATACTTTTTATTCTATTAAAGTTTGATATCAACAGCTTCAATTTTAGATACTACGAGAATGTGTGTTTTTCTGTGACTTTTTACGATGTATCAACAATGAGGTTCACAGGTAGAGAAAAGCTTCCTTGACACGTCAAGAAGTCTGAAACAACTTCCGAAAAGTTCGATCCAATTCCTCGGGCGGGTTTGAGGGAGGCGTAAAGTTGACAGTACACTTTAGTGCCACGACGGAGAAGAGATGAGTTTCCAACTTGTTGGAAGGTGGAAGTATTCATCTTGGATCTCATTTCCTCAGATTAAAATTTTTGATGAGCTGTCTACCTGGAAACAAAAACTATAAACTTCTTGTGCTTGGGAAACTTTGGTAAAGTGGAGCCAATTAGCCGTAATGTTTTTCAGAAAAGATACAACATTTTGCGTAAAATTTCGAGTACTTTACAGACAGAAGATTAAAGTGACAAAATTAACAAGTTACATTATGTCAATCTCCTATATAAGTTTAAATTAACTACCTAATGGAAAATATACAAACTAAATTGTAATGAATATAAACTATAATGTAAATAATGGAACAGTTCGAATAATAGCCAATATAAACATTTATAATATTTAAATTTAGTAACAAATGTATAAAAGTTATCACGTTCTGAACGTTGTGCTCTCATATTGAAGTAATATCAACTTATGTTAATAATATCAACTTGATGTTAGTCAAGTTAGGCCCTCAGTGACTTATTAGTTAGCGTGCTGGCTTTCTACGGCACAACCCTGAGTTCAATTCCCGGTCGGGGCAAAATTATAACTGTGCACTTTCCTTACAAATCTCTAACTATATATTGCTGTGTGTCGATGAGAAAGCCCACCTTAAGGTTAAAAAGGCCAGTTCCGTATATGGTGAGGGGATGTCTTCCCTTATCCCATGGCCGAGAGGCTGGGCCACCGCTGGTCGCCCAAGGCCCGTGGCGGTTGTCGAGTCAAAGGACAGGATGTTATTAAAATAGTTTCACACGACGGCCGTTATGAAAGACTGTCTTCGGCCGTGAAAGAAACAGCCTCTAAGGCAGATTAAAAACAGTTATCCTTAAAACCCACAATTTCGGAGTCGGGCTCACATTTCTTGTGCACCGAAGGAATATTATTTTAGCGTATCCTGCATTCAATTTTTCTGCAAGGCGAGGATGGGGGGGCAGGAGATAATAAAAGGAAGAAAAGCGGAACGCGAAGCGTCTAAGGGCAGCGCAGGAGCTCACGCGCCGCGCCGCGCCGAGAGCTCGCTGGTCGGTAGGCAGCGCCGTGCCGAAGGGGCGCCGGGCGCGAAGCGGGACAGTAGCGTGGGGGCGGAGCAATAGATGAGGAACGAGTTAGCAGAGTAGAGCCGCCGGCATGGGCCGCGCACGGGCTGGGGAAGGCGGCGTAGTGCGTGGAGAAAACCTGATCTTGGCGTGGAAGGGTGGGGAGGCAAGTTGCGGGGCGCGGGGAAAGTGGCGTGCGGACGCGAGAAGCTTCGAAGCGCGGACGGGGAAGTAGGCGCGAGCCGGCAAGGAAAAGGTGAGGCGGGCAGGGCAGCGGAGCGCGCGGAGCCAGGGCGAGGTG